GTATGCTTTATTGTCTCTAATCACTCCAGTCCAGCAATAAGACTGCATGCTCTTCAGAGGAGGGACCTTTTTTTTAGAAGCAGCTAGCACATTTGCAGGTGCTATAAAGTAATTAACAATTATTATAATAACCAAAATCAGAGATCTAAACTCAGCCCCATCTTTAGAAAACAGAGAGAGGGAGGAAGGAAAAGGCTGAACTATATTCTGTACTGAAGGCACCAGCTCCGGGGGAAGCTGGCAAATTAGAGCAAAATGGAAACTCTTCCTACAAAATGTTGCTTGTACAGATCCCTGTGCTGCCCTGTATCATTTTGCATTTTGGTCCTGAGAAGCCTCTGGCAGCCATCCTGCTGAGTGACCCGTATGCCCAATTAATCCTCCATTCAGTGGGCCAAATGCAGTCCTGTTGTAAGCAGATGCAGCTCTAGATGGAATTGCTCCCCACTACACGAAGGCTGAATTTGGTCCACTGAGTTTAACGAACGTCTTTGGGCTGTCAGAGCAGTGCAGGAACGGATAAGCAGGCATTTGGGTTCACACTGGCTCTCTCTGGTGCAGTAAATATGGAGTTCATTCTTGCATGTAGCAGGTAGCTGATCTAAAATTATTTCTTGTTCTTTAAATATCACCCCGGAGAGGTGATTGGAGCTGGATGGTCCAGTAGAAGGGAACTTGCCTAAGACTTGGGAGACCAGCATTCAACTGCCTGCTCTGCCATAGACTTCCTGTGTGACCTTGGGCAGGTCACTAGCCTCTCTGAGTCTTGGTTTCCATCTGTAATATGGAGGTAAATATCATCCCAATATTGCAAGGGTGCTGTGAGACTAAAGATTGTGAGGTGCTTGGATATCATCGTAATAGGGGCCATATAAGTACCTGAGAGAGAGCAGCTGTATGCTGGATGAAATCATGGTGGAATCAGTCTCCTTTTCTTCTTTGGTTCTCTTTTTAAACTCAGGTTTCAGAGTAGCAGCCGTGTTAGTCTGTATCTGCAAAAAGAACAGGAGTACTTGTGGCACCTTAGAGACTAACACATTTATTTGAGCATAAGCTTTCATGGGCTACAGCCCACTTCATCGGATGCATAGAATGGAACATATAGTGAGGAGATATATATACATACAGAGAACATGAAAAGGTGGGAGTTGCCCAACCAACTCTAAGAGGCTAATTAATTAAGATGAACTATTGTCAGCAGGAGAAAAAAACCTTTTGTAGTGATAATCAAGATGGCCCATTTCAGACAGTTTGACAAGAAGGTGTGAGGATACTTAACATGGGGAAATAGATTCAATGTGTGTAATGGCTCAGCCATTCCCAGTCTCTATTCAAGCCTAAACTCACTCCTTCTTTAAGGTTATGAAACCTGAATCTTCACCTCAAGGTAAGGGGGGGGAGCTTATAACCCTCATCATATGTGCTTCACCAGCCTGATAATATGCATGGTTCTGTTGCTGTAGCCTCATGTGCCCTTCTCCCTACTCCACTGCAGGGTTTGTCACGATCCCTTGTTACTTTACTTCTGATTGTAATTTAAGTTATAAACTTTGGGGCAGAGACATTGAGCCACATTCTCTTTCCACTTACATTAGTCCAGATTAACCCCATTATACTCTGGATGCAAACTGGTGTAAACGAGAGCAGAATTTGACTGTGTTGTCTTTTGTCTGTAAAGCCCCATGCCCATTTATGGCCCTGTGGAAAGAATAGACAATACTAATATGCTCAGTGGCAAGGGTGTGGCAGAAGTGTAAAGTGATGTTTGCTTTTGTTTGAGGACAAAGAGTCCCCACTGAGCACAGAAACTTTGGGTGGGTATTTTGAATGTAAACATGGTGACAAATTTTCTGTTCCCCCACACCCACAAAGCCAAATTTGATTTAGCTGCTGTGCTGGGCATTTAGTCATTCGTTAGAACAGTGTAAAGGGATTCAGTTACCAGAAAAAAGACCAGAGGGGAAAAGCACTAACTGGGGCTGGGGAGAGGGAAATAAACTAAACTGACCTTGATCCAAGGCATTCTTTGGGGGCAGTTAATAATCAGATGGGATTAATGGCTCTTGTTTCTCCCTGGGCTGCCCACAATATGCCTCAGGCCCTGATTGCTAGTGTTTAGATTTGAATAATCCCATGGATAAATTGAATCTACGGATAATCTCATATTCTTCTCATTTCTGAATTCCAGTGTTACGAAGTAAATTTGTGTGGACAGCAAGATTCCTCAAACAGGAGCCTCTCTCCTACCTTGCTCTATTCTCTTCCTTCCCCAAAATAAAAATGATGTTTCTGTGCTATAAACACTATCCAAAAGTATTTGTTGCTGATATCCCCAGACCATCTCTAGTCAATATTCAGGTCCCTTGCAATGGAGAGGACAAGTGTTTGTGTACCTGCTCCCTCATCATTCATTCATTAGAAATCTTGGCCTGCATGCAGGATCAGTAGCTAGTTTATCTACATGGGTTAGTAGTTCTGACATGGGATTGAGTTCTCTTTCCACTTTACAAATGGATGTCTCATAGCTGTAAGGTCTTTGTTTCACCCAGTCTACCTCACCCTTCTTTGAAGGTTCCTGCTATTCTTCCTGGTCTTTCTGGACCAGCGTTTCCAGAAGCATCTCCTCTTCTCTGAAGAAGGGATTGCACAATCAACAATGCTGATTCGGTGCAGCAAGGGCAGGTGAGGTATAGGTTATTCTCATCAAAGATCACGCACACCTCACAGGCACAGCCAGCATCAGTTTGCTAGTCCTTATTTCCTGTGCTGGGCCCTATGTCACAGCGGTGTCCCTCTAGCTGAGGGTAGGAGCTAAGTCCCCTCAATAACACTGGTACCCATGATGCAAAGTGTTCGGTAGGAATCTCCATTACAAGAAATTTAAAATAGTAAATTATGGTAGAAGCCTAATCATTGCATGAATTTGATCTTCTGCAACCAAACCATCTTGGGCTGTGGCCGCGTCAGATTTCTTAAGAGAAGCAGGGTTGGACCTTGGCATTACCTGGATGAGAGAACTCCAGGGTAAGTCCAGAGCTACAAGAAGTGTTGGTGCTTCCCTCTGCAAGTCAGTACTGACTCAGTACCCCTAACCTGGTGGTAGAGGGTATAGTACTGCAGGAAGTGGGGCTAGTGACTCAGTAGTTAATCTTTTCCTCTGCACCGGTTAAAAAACCAATGTCCCAGTATAGGGTTATGGGGAGAGGGGGTTATGGAAATCAAGGTACTATTTTTTAGATGAAAAGCAAAACAGAGGTCCTGACCTGTGATCACTGAAGAACCTACAGTGCTCTTACAAGTAAGTCCTAGCCAAATTCCAGTTTGGGATTCATATCATGCCTTCCCAACCTCCCCCTGCAGTTCCAACTGCATATGGATCTGGGCTTCTGCTGCACTTCCTGGCCCTGAATGCTAGAGTCATGTAGCTCTGTGCTTTGGACAATTACTGCAGGCTGACGAACCAAGGGACGCACCCTACTCCTGTACTTATTCATTACACCAATACTGACTTGGATTCTAAATACATTCTATGGGTGGCGTACCTGAGAGAACTTATCCACTGATGTTTTAAAAACTCCCGCAGCCCAATCTGGGTCTATGCTGGTTAGGTACTATGTATATATCTTATGAACCTTGTAATCCCTCATAACCCAAGCCTGACCCCAGATGTACAGTACCTTCCTTCTTAACTTGTGTAAATTTGATTTTAAACATTAACTTTAATAAAAGTGTTAAATCTGTTCTTATCAGTTTAGAGACTATAGTCTTGATTTTGCAAGGAATGTCAGGGCCTATCCATGGATACTTTAAAGGGATTAACTAGGGTGGGATTAAATTGCTGCCCTTGGGCAGGCCAGTCCTATATTATTATTATTGTTTGATTTGTTAGCTCCGGCGGGGGTTCCAGGGGTAACTGCTGCCCTGTGGCTGTTATACATGTGCGCACAAGAGGAACACTGGCCCCAAAGTGTCGGAAGAGCTGCCCAACATAAAAGAGAGAGTTCCTGCCCTGAGGAATTTACAGGTATGTCTACACTGCAATTAGACACCGTGGCTGGCCTGTGCCAGCTGCCTTGGGCTCGTGAGGCTTGGGCTAAGGGGCTGTTCACTTGTGGTGTAGACCTTTGGACTTGGGCTGTAGCCTGAGGACTGGGACCCTCCCACCGCACAGGGCCCTAGAGCCCAGGCTCCAGCCCACTGAGTTTTTAATTGCAGTGTAGACATAGCCAGGGTGACCCCAATGTGTGAGTTAGCAGGATGGTCGGGAGGGCGAGAGGAGGCAGAAAGCTGGGGCTTAGAGGGAGCCAAGGCTCGTGGGCAGCAGGCAGGAGTGAAGAGGTTCTTCACGAGAAATACCCTCGGCGGGTGGGCGACTTACTCAGCTAGTCTCTTGGCAGGAGAGGGTAGTGGCTCTGCGGCCCAGCTCCGGCGGGGGCTCCAGGGGTAACTGCTGCCCTGTGGCTGTTAAACGTGTGCGCACAAGAGGAACACTGGCCCTGTGCACGGTGGGCGCTCTCCGGGGGCTGGCTCAGGCGTTCGGAAAGGCCTGGCACTGGGCTTGGCACATGCCTCTTTAACTTGCGGCTTTCTCTCCTGCACGGAGGTGTCTGTACTAAACTCGCCTGCAACCTGCTGCCTTTCCCCGGGGCTAGGGAACGCCTGGCTGCTTTGCCAGGCTCATGCCCCCCCATTCCCCAGGCTCTGCGTGCGCCTCTGGCTGAACTGGCCTCGCCCCGGGCCGCTCCCTCTCTGCCCCCTTCTGGGCTCCACCCTGCGCGCCGCCTTTGTGTGCACTGAGCCGGCCAGAGCTCTCTCCGCCCTCCGCCCTCTCCCCGGGGCTTCCATAGGCTGCTGCCGTGTTCGCACGCTGGCTGGTTTTAGGGCTGGGCTGGAGGGATGACAAAGCAGAGGCGAGCTGGGCTCAGCCCTCCTCCTCCGGCTGCCCAGCGCTGCTGTTATGGAAACCAGCCCGGCTTGCCCGAGCGGATAATGGAGCAGCCATGGCCAAGGCCGGCAGCAGCGGCGCAGCCCCCCAGCAGAGGGCGGGGGTCCCGGAGGGCCGGGACCCCTGGGAGCTGTCCCTGGAGGAGGTGCTGAAGTCCTACGAGCAGCCCATCAATGAGGAGCAGGCGTGGGCCGTGTGCTACCAGTGCTGCCGGGGGCTGGCGGGCGCGGAGGGGCGCTGGGGGCCGGCGGGCCGGATCCGGGACACGGCGGACATCCTGCTGCACAAGGATGGGACGGTGACCGCCCGGGGGGAGCAGGGCTCGGCCGGTGAGTGCCATGCGGGGGGCGCAGGACTCCCTCCACCCCCAGTGCGGAGCGGAGCGCAGTGCCATGGGGTGGGGGTGGGGGCTGCTGAGGATAATCTCCGGGCCTGGGGGCCCCTCCCCATATTGCAGAGGCTGGGGGACTGGGGGCGGCTCCGCAGCCCTGGGATCACACCCTCCAGAGCCACCCGGAGGGAAAGTCCGAGCCAGGCCTGGCTGGGAGGGGAGCAGAGACCCCAGGCTCCCGCCCCCTCGTTTGCAGGGTGCACCCGAATGTCTGCCCTCCCCCCAGCCCGTCTGGGCAGCTGCTTCTCCGGGGGGCAGCAGCAGAGGGTGGCGGGGAATCCCTGTCTGTTTACAGCCCTGCTCCCCCGGCCCCAGCAGCCCAGCTCGCCGCCTGTCGCAGCCTTGGCTCCACAGTGCCTGTGCTGTGTGAACACTTCCCCTTGGACAGCCTATGGATTACAGACAGCGTGTCAATAGGTGGATTTGTAACTGAGAGTTGTGATAAGCCAACAGCTCTCTGTATAGTACATACAGCTGCCCAGGTGGTGGGAGACCTTAGAGACGTTTGCAGGCATCCTGCATGCAAAGGGTTGTGAGTCGGGTGGATGGAACAGACATCCCTGTCCATTCCTATTGCAATGTATACACATGACCTTGCACCACTGGGATGCTGTGGTTGAGGTGGTCACATTGTGTCAGGCTTTTCCATTTGAAACCCCCTATTCTTAAGGCTTTATAGTACATAAAAAATTAACCGAGTTGAAACCCACCACTCTGATTGTGGGAAGTGGGGGGAGGGTGAGAGAGAGGACATTTGGGGAGATTCTGTTTGGGCACTTTTTTAAAACGGTCAGAATGAACAAACCCCAGAGTTATTTGGCCCTAGAAAACATGCCTGTCCATAAACAGGCCAGGTCCTGGAAAATTTATATCATGTGTAACCCAGAGACTTATAAGTATTTTGCTCTTCAGACTTTCTAGCTCTTTGGGTTAAATACTGGTGGTTAGTAAACTGTGTATTAAGAAATTTACTGACAAAACCACCTTACGGGAAAGTTAAGATTGGGAAAGAAAGGAAGAAAACCAAATACATGCATGTCTAAGGGTGAAATAATAATAAATATAATGAATAATGGAAATGGACCATGCCCTGTAGTATCTAGGCAGAAAATGGCAATATTAAGGAAATACACCAGATGCTGTGGCATCTGAGGATATGATGCTTTATCTGAATCACCGTGCTTCCCTGGTTCTCTCTCAGCCTTAATATTAAAGGGATATCACACTGCATGGAGAAGACAGACACACAATTACTGTGAAGCTCCTCAGTAAGATATTGAAGTGTTGGACACATGACAAGTGCATTGTTTGGGGTGTCAAGATACAGAGATGTTAAAATTCAAAATCTGGATAACAATAAAAGTCTGGGAGTGCAGATCAGTTAGACTCTTGACCACAGTCACTGGTCATCTTAGTCCTCCCATGTATTCTTTCTGTCAAGAAGGGCCAGGCCAGGCCAGCAATGGCAGACGCTAGCAGCACACATTCAAAGATTAGGAGATGTCTAAATTACATGTGTAAAACTGAACTTTAAACTTTATTGGATCATCCTTATTACCGATTCATGAGCCAGGAGGTCAGCGCCTCTTACAAAGACACATTTCGTAACCTTGGTAGTTTTATGGTCTATAATTATACCCCAAGCCAGTGGAAATTGTTTGCAATTTGATGGGTGTCTCAGACCAGCACCAACAGACTAGTAGGCCCGTAATAATAATGATCATGGTACTAATACTTGTACAGCACTTTTCATCTTCAAAGCTCTGTACAAACATGAACGTACTACTGTACTTTTTGCCTCAGTTCTGTCGGGTAGGAAAGTATTAACCCAGTTTTACAGAGGGGGAAGTAGACAGAGAGAGGTAAAGGGTCAGATCCTGTGAGGCACTGAATCACTGTTGGAGGGAGTGCAGAGCAGAGATGCTCAGCACTTCACATTGTCAGCCCCAACTGCTCTGCCCGATGCCACCCAGCACTCTCGAGCTATGGGAGGGAGAAATCAGATGGTTTATGGTTAAAAAGCAAGCCTCTTGCCGCCTGTTCTGGCTGTGAGATAGCCTCACTCCTGGAATTCTGGAGGCACTTGGCCCTCAGCCTCACTACACCTGACAGCCTCCAAACAGCCACACCTGTCCTGTCAGATGCTGACCCTTGCACGCTCCACAGCTGCTTATTACCAGGGTGATTCAGTGGCATTTAGCTGAGCAATTCCAATTATCATGCCTGTGCCACTTGTGAGTTCTTCCTCCTCCTGACGCTTCTGAGGATAAATAGGATAAACAAACAGTTAAAAAAACATTAATGTGCATTATACAAATGTATGTTACTACTATGCAGCTCTGTGCCTCTGACACAGCATAAACTCAGCTTGCCATCCCCAGATCTGGGCTTTTACCGCCCAGCTGAACGAGAAGGAGGCTGGGTTGTTACTCTGATAATATTGACTGAAAACTTTTCACATAACCTCCAAAAACTGGCTGATCCTGTTCCGGCACAAGCACAATTTAAATAAATATGTGCCCGGATACAAAAGGAAGCCACTTTTCAACACAATACTGAAAATACTGAGTGATCTGACTTTAGTCTTTGTTCATTAAATCATTATAACTCTATAGCCAGTTTTGCCCACAGGCAATGCTGATCTCTTCAGTGGGAAGGAGGCCAAGAATTGCATCATTTTAATGGTCCCTGAAGGAACAATACTGCTGTGCCATGTTCTGTGTAGAAGCATCTCCACTCCTGTAGAAAAGCCTCCATTTTTAACATGGCTTTTGCATGGCTAGTGATATCTTGTGAGTTCAGTTTGCAGCTTCCCTCTCAACACAGAGCAATTCATGCAGGGTCTGCAGGACCTGCCATGTGTGTTTTCATAGTTTGCATGCTGGAAGTGCTTTCTTGTTTGCTTATTATTAACATCTTTATTGCCTGTTCCCCAGCCAAATTTCTGTAATTCTCTTGGTAAGTGCCACTCTGGGCAGCTTTCAGGGTGTTTAGAAATGGAAATGGCAAGTTGCCTCCTTGGGTGTTTAATACAAAATGCACTTAAATTGTCAGGAGCAGTGATACGAGCCTGGAGCATCGTTAGGCGTCTGTGTTCATTTCCTAGCAGAGTGTTGGCTAAGGAGAGTTGCTTTAGGAGGCAGTCTCTTGTTCTGGTAGGAATATGGATTTGCGGAGTCCTGAGACTAAGGGGAGCAGTTTTGCCCTTTTTGGTTTCTTGATTGGGAATGAGCAGCACTGGCCATATGGTCCCAGAGGTTATCTTGTACTATTGGTGTGAGAGTGCCATGGGGGGAGCAGCAGGATTTCTACACCTGTGATTTAGGATGAGGGCGGGCAGTTATGACAAGGTTTCCTCACTCTGTGTGGCCTCCCAGACACCCTCTCCCCAAACTGTAAACAATGAACTCGTGAAGCCCAGCTGTATCGCAGCTGGGCCCCCTGCCCATTGAGCTGTTACATGTTTGGATGTGCACAACATCCCCTCTGATGCAATCTGGCTTCAGGATTTAGCATATCCCAGACTCCACTGGATGCAACAATTCAACATGGCGCTGCAGTAGAACTGCTGTTAACCTCCTAAACATGCCCACACACTGTCAGGTGGTTTCTGCATTAACACCTTACCAAGGTTGGCTCCTGTTTATCAGTGTTTCTGCCTGTAACTGGCTCCCACTGAAGAGCATCTCTGTCTGGTTAGAGCAAAGCATCATTCTCCCTTCCCTAGAAAGACCTGTAAGTGTTGCCTCTGAGGCTACCAGCCCTGGCTTCTCTAAATAACTGGTATTGAATGTTAGTTCAAAATTGTACCTTTGCATGGCTTAAGGTGCAGGTTTCATGTTTGTAGGGGGAGGAGGCATTCCTCTTGGTGGACAGGAGAATCTTGCTGGAGTTCTGAGTATCCCCCCTTTCCCCTTGCTTTAAACTCCTTCAAGGCCCTGTCCTTAGTTACCATCCTTCTGGGCAAGGACTGGATGCTGCTTGTAAATGCAGCCAGAGGGGAAGGGGGTGCAACTGAGCACCAAGACATCACCCTGCACTGTCTGATAGTTCTAGCATGTGTCTAGGAGAGAATGTTTCGGCTGCAGGGAACACCAGCCAAAGACAGAACAAGAGAGAGAAGGGAACTGTCCTAAAAGTGACATTCATTCTGATTATGCAGTGTAAGTGTAGCCGCGTTGCTCCCAGGATATTAGATAGCCAAGGTGGGTGAGATTGTCTCTTTTATTGGGCCCAACTTCTGTTGGTGAGAGAGACAAACTTACTGCACAGCCCTGGGTTCTTCTGCTCCGACTTTGCCACTGACTCATGGTGTGATGCTAAGAAAGTCATTGAACTGGTCTATGCCTCAGTTTCCCCACCTGCAAAACCCACCTATTTCTCTCTCAGCAGGGCTGTGACGGTTACATTAATGCTTGTAAAAGTGCTTTTAGACTCTGGTATAAGAGGATCTACACTAAATGCAAAGAGGTGTTACTGCGGGAAGTTTACTGAATTCGTTGGGCCTATGCAGGAGTTATAGAAACCATGCCCTGGATTGTTCTGCTCACAGCAGCAGCTTCATGTCAGGACACCACTAGTATGTTTTGCGGGTGGTCTGCAGAAAGTAACTGGGTTCACTGTGGGTACATGTGGAAGGCAGAGCACCCATAAAGCTGAGCTGTTGGAGGGTATTAAGTTCTCTTTATATCTCTTCTGAGACTAAGATGGGTGTTGGGGTCGTTACAGAACACACATGATCTCCAGTTTCACATGCACAACACTGGGCCTGCTCCTCCTAACTCCATTGGCATTAGTTGAGGTACTCAGTGGAACCACAGTATAGTAATTCTCCGTTTGTGGTTTCCATTCCTGTGCTGGGATTTGTCTGGTCCAAGCAGTGCTGATATTGATGACACTTGGGATTCTTTGTGCAGGAAGCTTTTGGGCCCTCTTGTT